CCGCCAGGGAGCTGCAGATGGCCTCCTGAGAAAACGATGAACAGAACATGACGTACAGTGCTCACTTTCCTCACAACACACGAGAGTAACTGCTCTGTTACAAACCTTAAAGTGGTCAATGGTGACAAAGTCCGGGAAGAAGGGCAGGATGTCTTCGATCTTGAGCAGGTCGCAGCTGGACAGACAGTTCATGGCTTTCTTCACGTCTTTCTCCTCTTGCACAACGTGCCGCGCGATCTTCAGCCAAAGCTTCTTCCTCAGTTCCTCGTCGTCCTCAGGCAGGTCAGCGCATGACTTGGCCAGGTCTACATCGACCTATGGGAAAAAATACATACAGTGATTATCTAAGTTAGTAGATTTGAACATTCAATATTTAAGATTAAAGGAAAATGTCCTGATTATCTATTTACATGCATGAATCTCACTTACTTGTAAAGCGAGATCCACTGCCTCCTCATACAGTTCCATTATCCTATAAACCAGGACACAGGCGCGGAGGTAGCCATGTTCAGCGCACAACCTGAGAGCATACTTCAGGTCATAGTGTATCTCTGAGGCATGTGTACCTGCCTGCTCCAGATACAGCAGCAGAGAGTCCGGCTTGTATTTAGCATAGAGCGACAGCAGGTAGTTGTGGATCGCCTCCTCTGTCACATTGAGCTCGTACACGCAGAACTCCATGTAGCGAATGGTTTCACTGATCTGCTGGGTGCTGCCCATCTGGCTGTAGTTCATAAGCGCGGGGATGAGTTTCTTTGGCTCCAGCTTCTTTCCCATCTGGATCCACGCGTCGACTACTTTTTTGGGAATGTGCTGCATGAGGACGGGGGAGAACTTGTAAAAGAGCTTCTCGTCACAGTGCTTGGAGAGCACGTCCAGAGCGGCGCTGTAGTCATCGTGTTGGCAGTAGTGGGAAATCACTCTCTCGTAGTCCTGCATGACGACCGAGAAGTAAACCATGTCGTCAACGTTGCCGTGGCTGGCCAGCAGGTCATAAATGGTACTGCGGTTGTTGAACAGGCACTCCTTGTGCTTCGAGCAGCTGAGGAAGTGGCGGAACTCATCACGTGTCTCCTGGAAGATGATGCTGTTACCGTTACTCTCCAGTTGGCCGAGACTGTTCAGATAGAGCTCTGCTAACCAGGTGACCAGCAATGTGATCTGCGTTCTCTCACTCTGTTTCAAATTATTCAGTTTCTTCAGTAAGAACTCCTTCAAGGCTTCCTCTTGTTTGGCCTCGATGAACTTGAGCGCTATTTCCTCAAAGTAGTTCTGTGTCAGCGCATAGCACTTGGCGCTCTCCAGGTATCGCTTATTCTGGAAGCAGTGCTCAGCCTCCTTCGCCAGTACCATGTCCATGCACTCAGGTCGGTCACGGCAGTACTCCTTGGCCAGATCAAATTTATTCATGCTCATGTACATCTGCCAGACGTCCCTGGCCTCACGCTGAATGTGATAGCGGAAGACTGCCCGCTCGGTGTAGATCCACACCAACCCACCAACTGGGTCCTTAATCATCCTCTTAAGGGAGCCAAATTTATCTGGGAACACATCCTCATAAACAACCTGTCCATTCAGAGTGCAGATGGCCTTGACTCGGTCATGGAGCAACAACAGGAAGTGGAACTGTGTCAACACAATGGAGATGGGCTTCTTTAGAGTAAGGTCAATGTCAGGGGTATAATCCCATACCTGTTTGATTGCAAGGGAGAAAGAAAATGAGGTGAGGGTAGAACCAAACATTATTGATTATCATCGGTACATTCTCCCATGCATTCACATTTACCTGCACATCACTTAGCAGTGAATCAGGCCTCACATAGTCCAGCTGACCATAAAGAACTCCATTACCCATCATCCAGGCAAACGCCTTGGGGGAAGTCCGCAGTTTCGAGGTGTAGAACGTGATCTCGCTGTAGCCCATGTTGGCCGGGAACTCCTGGAAACTGGGCAGCAGGTCCTGGTTCTGGTTGAAGATGGAGCTGAAGCCCAGCTGCTCTGACCCCTCGGGTACCTTACCCACAAACTGGAACAGGCGTTTGCGTGTGGTGGCGATGATGAAGTACTTGTTCTCCAGGCCACGCTCCACCTCCAGGCAGCAGATGGGTGCTGGCTTCCCATCCTCCTCTAGGGAGTGGACCTGTCTCAAGATAAGAACGAGATATTGTTCAGGATAGAAAAAAAATGCAGGTCAGTTTATTCAACTGTTTTGGATTACAAACCAAACAGTACCACCAAACATAATATCCTCATTTTTATGGTAAAATGGTGAATTCTCAAACAATCAGCCATTCTCTGACCTGTCTGAAGTACTGGTCTGGATTGTTGTTGAACAGGCTGCCCTCGCTTGCGGAGATCTCAGCCTCAAAGATGATGCCTTGACTGGTGCCAACCAGGATGGGTCCTGTGCTGGTCTCGTTGCCCAGCAGCTTGTTCCAGCCAACGCTCTCAATGAGGTGGCCTCTCCAGCGGGACAGACTGCGCACCTTCTGCGTGTTCCTGTTAAGGTACAGACACTCGCTGGTGCTCAGGCTGATCAGCACATGGGAGCCTGCAGTGGTAAATATGGAGGTGGTTGTTAATAAGTCATAAGCATGACAGCATCAGAGTAATGCTATGAATTATGCAGTAGCAGAGAGCTTGGGCCATCAGTGTTGCTTCAGTCTCTGAGACTCTGTTCAGACCTTGTATTAACATCCAGTGTGATCAAATTAATAGCAGACAGCACTAAGTTCAGGTCTGAACCATCTTGAGATCTGATCACTCAAACTACATTTGGAGGTGGTAGGGAAACATTGGATTAAAGTCTTTCACTTTGTGAATGCAAACACATCTTTGGCCACATGTGAGGGATCAGCTGACGTCTCTGATCGCCAACAGTTTCACTATGATTCAAGCCTTTTTTTAAACGATTCTCTGCATTCATATGTTGATTTGTTTGTGGCCACCACCAATATATCAACTTTGATCACCACATAATAACTGAAGTATTTCTTCACAGCACAGTTGCACGAAATTTATTCAGCCCCTCCTTACTCCTCTCTCCCTCACTTGCCCTGACACACACATTTACACACAGACCACGAACCCATCTGTAAACTCAGACTGGTTAAAAACAACATCATCTGATTGAACTTGATTATCTGCATATAGAGCAGGGAAGTGAGATCCAATCACAAGTGGTTACAGGAGTCACATTCAGGATGCATTTTAACAGGTGTGAACAGACGAATTCAGTGCTGGCCACTTGTAATTGCATATCAGGTCTGAATAGGGCCTGAGGCCTTTTTGCTTGATCGTGAAATGATGATATACATATAGTAATTTTGCATTATCCCAGGCATAGGTTTTATGGGTGGTAATATTCACAATTCTGTGTATTTGAGTTCTAACAGAATACCCAGAATGAGCAATATCTTGTTTTACTCCTCTAATTATAGCCTATGGTCAGTGTTTTAAAGGAAAATCTGAATAAGCATTGTGTCTTTTTTCACCTGTGGGGTCCAGGAACAGTTTGTGCACTTTGCTGTCATCTTTCCTTCCTAATTCAATCTGATTCGGCTGATCTGGCTTGGCCAAGTCAATCCTGCACAGGAGAGAACATGGAAAACATCAGTATCAGCAACTTCAACAAACAACAATGACAACAAACGAGCATTAATCGCAGTGAGGAGCAGCCATTAACTCTGAGTAATCCAGTCAAAACCATGTTGTGTGATAAGTGTTATTTGCCTCAGCAGGGTGTCCTTCCCCAGACTCATGCATAGCTGATTGTTGCAGACTGCGAGATGGTTTATCTTCTCCGGTGGTGTGAAGTCGATCCTCTGCTTGTTGAATATCGGCTTCTCTTCCTCCAGTCTCACGTTCACAAAACCTGGTGTGAGGGAACACGCTTGTTGCGTAATCGAGTCTTTCAGCAGAAGGGCGACTGAGTTCTAAAGATTTATTAGCATTAAGAATCCTTAAATGTGATGAGACTGGAGCATCTCCGGAGAGGAGGGCGACCTACCTGAGTGCGTTATCCCGATGTTGGCACTTGACAAGCGGCTGTGCTGCTGCGCACTCTGCCTCGTGTTCTGCGAGTCCTCGTACTCGTCGAGAATTGAAGCCATGGTTGATTCTTCACCTTATTTCTACAGCTGCAAATTAAATCCTCTCCAAAAACAGGGACGGAAGACGAGTCAGTTCTAAGACGACATGGCTAAACTAGCTAGCTAGCCTAGCACTGTTTACTTCCGTTCAGGGCTCACTACCGCATTTCCTGTCGCCGCATCTGTCTGCGATGACCAGAGAGGTGTCGACTAGAGGTTACCCTGCAACATAAACAGGACAATACATTAGTCTTCAGTCATTTAGTCCACCATTAGTTAGCTTAGCTTCCGACTGCACAGCACAGGGTGGACTCCAACAGTCAGGTGACACTAGGAATCATGTGATCACATTTGGTGTAGTGCGCGTCTGTGACATTGGGGGGCGCAGGTCACCCAACTTTCGAGCTGTGACAGGAAACAACTGAATATTAATGATTATGAACATTTTAATTTATAAAACAAAATCCTTCACAAATAAAATACACTGTAAGTAAGAGTACACGAAAATAACGAATAGAAATAGTCATCAATAATAAATAAATGACATAAAAATGGAAAACTCAATTACACTTACAAGTCAGTAAAGATTAAATAAATGAATCCCTCCCTTCCCTCTCTATCTATCCATCTCCCTCCATCTATCTATCTATCTATCTATCAATCAATCAATCAATCAATCAATCTATCTATCTATCTATCTATCTATCTATCTATCTATCTATCTATCTATCTATCTATCTATCTATCCCTCTCAATCTCTCTCTCTCTATCTATCAATCTCCCTCTCTCTATCTGTATCATTCTGTCTATCTAACTTTTGGAAAGTCAGGGAACTGTGTGTGTGTGTGTGTGTGTGTGTGTGTGTGTGGGCGCGTCTATGTAAATCTGGACCTGTGGGAGCACCACCCCTCTCCTCCACACCTCCCTCCCGGCACATGTCTCCAGTCAGTCCCAGCAGAGCAGAGACTCGGGCGGCAGGAATGTGAGACGCAGAGCGCTCAGCTGATCCTCACTGTGCCACTCTCATCTGAAGCAGAAACAGAGTCTGAGGTCTGGAGTCGTTTCTTTCTCTCCGTTCCCTTGCGGCTCGACATGCCACCTCACATGGATTACTACCACGAGTCCCGAGTCCCCTCCGCCTGCGGGCTGACCCGGGAGGACGAGCTGGAGCCCGGTGCCATCAACTGCATGCTGGTCGGGGATGGAGCCGTGGGGAAGACGAGCATGATCGTCAGCTACACCTCCAATGGATACCCGACAGAGTACAGGCAGACTGGGTTCGACGTCTTCTCCGGTGAGTGGCCCCTTCTCTTATATTGTACAAGTAGAAGTGTATTATTATTATTGGGTAATATCAGTATGAGTGCTGGTGTTTGTGTTGGATCAGTATGGAGCTCACATATTTGGATAACAGATGAATGCAACATATTTTCAATTAGTAGTATTACAAAGTATACTTGTGTGTTCTTTCTGATTCTGATAGCTGCTAATACCAGACTATCAAATGTAAACTTGGATTTAATCATTTATTTTGTGCCTTTTACTCTGACGTTTTATTTCTTTGAATTTTGTCTTAAAAAGTGAACTAATTTTAAACTGTCCCTTATTTACAACAGGTCAGGTCCAGGTAGAAGGATCACCAGTCAAAGTTCAGCTTCTGGACACTGCTGGACAGGTAAGACAAATTAAAAATCATTATAATAATAACCTTATTTAAAGAACACTTTTCAATACAATGTACTCACATAGGCTCAGACCAGAGCCTTATAATTAAGAAATCAATCCTAAAACAAACTGGGAAAATGTCAAATGTAAAAACAATGTAACGATAATACATGTCTAAGTTGTAGTTAATATCCCAAGAAGAAATGATGTAGACAAGTACCACCTTTTTTATTTTTTGAGAATGAGAACATCTCAAGTATACATTTATCTCTTAAGACATCAAGTATAGCATCACCATTCTTCATTTGAAATACCGTTTTGTACAATGTAAGATGAGGTGAAACTACAAACCTATCAGTTGTGTCACACCTTTGCTTAATCCAATGTGACTCAGCAACCAGATTTCACCATACACCAACATTTGAATAGATGTTCATTATTTTCTGAGGTTTAATGAGTCAGTGATTTTCTCTCTTTTCTTTATCATGTCTGTTCATTTGCTTGACACTTACTCATATTCTCTGTTTTGATCCTTTCAGGAGGAGTTTGATGAGTTCAGAGCTCTATCCTACACCCACGCCGATGTCTTCCTCCTGTGCTTCAGCATGGTCAACCCCACCTCTTTTCACAACATCACCAAGAAATGGGTCTCAGAGATCCGGGCTCACAACCCATCTTCGCCCATCATCCTTGTCGGGACCCAGTCGGACCTCCTGCTGGACGTGAACGTCCTCATCAATCTGGACAGATCTAACGTCAAGCCCGTCCTGAGCTCCAGGGCCAGGAGCATGGCGGAGAAGATCAGGGCCTCGGACTACATTGAGTGCTCGTCTCTCACACAAAAGAACTTGAAGGAGGCCTTTGATGCGGCCATCTTTGCCGCCATTAAGAACAAAACTCGCAAGAGCAAGAAGAGGAGGTTTTCCGACAGGCGCACCAAAGCTTTCTCCAGGTGCAGCTGGAAGAAGTTCTTCTGCTTCGTCTGAACTCTGTTAACTGTTGACCCTGTGGGTTATGGACTACAATTTAACTTATTTAAGTTTTTTTTAACTTTCACTTGATGTTACAGGTGTGACTTGTGGTAGTTTAGCATCTTCTCCATGCAAAATATTTGGCTTCTTTTATTTTGGGATGCCAAATGGTGCAAAACACAAGTCATGGGCACAGTGAGCATTGGAAACAAATATCAGTTGAGAAAGCAGAGAGGATTCTGGGTCTGGTTTCACACATCAGATTTCAGGACAGCAGAAATATTTACATTATATTCATGTCATTGTTCCAGACCAACAGAAGAACATCGTCTGCATATTAAATGACTGTATGTATGCTGTCATATGTGTTAAAGAGAAAAGAGGCTGTGAATTCAGACTTAAAAGGAAGCGAATGTATTAAGTGAACTCACAGACACTGAGAAAATCCAGACCATCATGTAAATGCTCCACATTTGCATGATGTGCTTCACACAAGGGCTGCAACCTTTTAGTTCGAGCGAGAGGGGAAACAGAAAGTGTCGTGGCTGTGTTTGAGCAGATGGGCGTTAGCTGCCTCTGGTGTTTTCTTGTTGTCTGGTTGCACCAGCTTATTTATATGCAGCAGCTGCAAGTTCAGGTTGCAGAGCGAGGTGCCACATTCTTACCTGTGTGTGAAAGCTCTCCCGGCTGGTTTTGGGAGGGTGTTCTCTGGCCTTTGAGTTAAACAACTGACAATCCTTTACCAGCTCTTGATGTGACAAATATATTTTCTTTGTTTGAATCCTCTGGTTTGGCACAGGAACTTGTTTGAAAATCCTCTTGTGTGTTGTGAAAGGTTTGCGCGGGAGCAGTAACCTGTGGCTTTTTGTTCCCGGCTCTCATCAATCTGCATCTGTAAAAGCAAGCACTGCAGGAGTCCACTCTGCAGGTCCTCCCACCACCTCCACCAGCCTCTTTGTTTATATGCTCAATACACTCCTTATCTCCTGAATAGCTCAGTGTGTACCGAGTGTGAGGATGCTAAACAGTCTCTGTTTTAATGTAAGTGTCGGCCACGCATCTTTAAAAAAGAAAAGGCTTTGTGCTTGTGATACATGTACAAAAGAAAATCAAATATTGCAATGGAGTGTAATAATATCTCGTGAATATACAAGTGTATATATGCGACAAGGCTTTACTATGCTTCTTGTGGAAGTCATTTTGCTGTATTCTGTTTGTGAAAACAGTTCAATTTTCATGTCTATGTTTATGAAATATTCAATAACACATGGATTTTAAATGCATTTGCCCACGCCATAAACTCTTTTATGTCAAATTTTGTATCACTGTCCATCTCCCTCTCTAAACTGTTTGTCTTTTTTTACATGTCGGAGTGATGCAAATAAATGAAGTGCAAATATACAGCAGCTTCTTTGTTATGTTATTTTTAGAACAGCATGTGTGCAACAGTCGTCACTTATCATATCTGATAGAAGCAGCTACTTTACATTCGGGGAAGAGTTTTCAAAAAGAGACACCAAAACTATTAGAAAAGCAACAAGCAGCAATCTCTACAGGGAGCCTGAGTAATCCTCATCACCACACCAGGTAGTTTTCCTGAAGCGGCTCCCTGTCCAAGGATATGATAAGTGACCTAAGGCCTCCAGCCGTGCCGTGGGTCGACCAATTCTAATGCAATCCACATGACTTGCTGATTGGCTCTGGCAGTGCCATACTGTGACTGATTGCTGTGTCTGGTTGTGGCTTTTTTTGAGAAAAAAAAACTTAGTAGAGACAGTCAGAGCAGGGGGATTAAGTCAGATTCACTGGTTGAGGAAAAGCAGCTGCATGGTGCTGGTTAATAACAATAATGGCATAAGAACACATTGCTCAATAATAAAGTTTGACAGCATCGGGGGCTTTTGAAAAGGGATTTTAAATCAGATGGAGAAAAATAGACAGAGGATTCTTTGCATGACAGCAAGACACACAATAACAGAGCATCAAGAGCTGCTGTCGCCCCAGCAGCTCTGCAGTGCATTTGTTCTGGGCAGGGTGGATGAGTCACAGATGAGCGAGAGGCTTAAAAACACACCCAGATACATCAGAGATCTGTTTGCCATTAGTCAGTGCGCTGTCCATCATGCTGTCATATGTCAGGGTTCTGTTTGAACGGCTGTTATCAATAGGTTAAAGCAGGACATCCTGCGTCTCAGCCTGGCGACCTTGTAAGGAGAGGTCACAGAAAGGAGCTAGTGTTTTGTCATCTGACACTACCGAGACCAGTGGACTCATGATGAACTTTGTTTTGACTCTGAGGGACCGGTCATGGCCGTTTGGAAAGCTCGACCCAGAACCATTCTAACAGAAAGGGTGAACAAGTTGCCCTAGTCAATATCTTTAACTTATACTTAACAATGGATAAAATGATTATGTCTAAAAGAGATCACAAAGAATTTCACCAAGAGTTTTGGCATCTTTCGCAAATAGTTTTGGTTTTATGGCCAGTAACGCAAAAAATGAATTAATGCTTGTTAATCACTTAAAAACAGACAAAGTTAGCAGTGAGTGGACATACCAGAGCAGGTACTGGTTACAGAGTGATCAGAATCAGAATCAGAATACTTTAATAATCCCCGGAGGAAAATTCAAACATGATGACACATTTCCCTCAGAGTTTGGAGACCAAAACGGAGCCAAAAGGCCCCAAATGAATAGTAATGTAGCCCCATGACCATTGGATAGACAAATGAGCTGATGTTTGCTCACATGTTTGCCATAAAAGCTTAACAAGGTGACAAGTTCACTGTTGTGTTTGCAGCGCCATGCATTGCTCCCAAGTGGTCAAAAAAGTTAAAAAAACAAATAACACAAGTATAGACACATTATTTCATTTTAGTCTTACTTGATTTTTATATTACTATGTTTATACCTGCTTTTGCTCTTTCACCTCTTTCTCAGGAGCTCTGTAACGTTTGAATTTCCCTACGGGGATTAATAAAGTACTTCCAAGTTTCACAACACCGGGTTAGGCAAGTAAATTTCAAATATCAATTCAAGGTTTAGATCAACATCCTGGTTCAGCTATGACTACCTCTTACATGCTTACTTTTCCTTTTTATTTCGTTTTTAGTTTTAAATTATTTCTGATAGATATGATGTGGAGATTAAGACCATTGGTAATAAACTATGAATATCAAAGGAACGCTGTGTTACTGATGTGTAAGGGTTGTTCAGTTTTTTGTGAGGGCACATGAAGGCCAGGAGCACTATGGTTATTAACGTCTTGAAAAGTAAAGCAGCTGAGGGTCAAGACAGACCATGACGCTCCTTGGACTAACACACTTGTCATGTCTTATTTATGAGTCTGCAGAACTGAAACTGTTTTTTTCACTCCATTCAATCAAAGGCAAAACACAGATGCTTTGCAAATTTCTTCTTTTTAATGGCAAAAAATCCTATGTGGAAAAAATTATTCAAAAAATAATGATTGGATGTGGTCACACAGTCACACATGATGCAAACACAACACAGACACCCATACAGGCTTTGCAGTCATAGTGCACTCATTGAGCAATAGTGAAGTCCATGTCTGACAGGTTTTAGGTTCCCAGGGGTTCAGTGAACTGTTTCTTCTTGTTTCTTCTTTTCCTCCTCCTCCTCACCTTCACTTCCCATGGTTAGTCATCTTATTTTTCTCATCATCTCAAGGCCCGTCCTCCTCCCAGGATCCCCTTCGTTGTAGCGATTGTGTCAAGAGTAGTCAACCTGCTCTTCCACTGGCTCTAGGCCAGTTTCACTCTTGCTGGGTTTCACTGTAGTCACAGATTGGCAAGGAGGCCTGGGAATCAGCAGGTGCACCGACAGGTCTGCCTGGATGGGGACGACGCTGATTGGCTCACTGCTGCTGCTCCTGGGTCATTCAAATTGGCAGTTTGAACAGTTATGCTGTAGGGGAGACTTGGCACAATGCACAGTGTTGTTATTTTACATGTTTATATTGTTTTTATTATCATTTGTCCACTTTTTCTGATTGAGGGTGTGTTCTTAAGAATAATGTAAGATGTGTGTGACATTAGGAGTGTGCTGCACTGGTGAAAAATAAGGTTGTAAAGTAAAATAAAATATAAACCTGAAATATTTTTATTTATTTTGTTTTTTACAAATGAGTAAGTTAATATTTTAACCAGCACGCTATTGTTTTTTTGTATTTTGTTTCATCCTGCATATTATTTACTCTGTCTTTGTCTCAAGTAATTATACAATTCATTAACATAATAAAAGCCGCCCTGTCACTCACATGAACTGTACACATCCATTATTTTTGTGAAAACATAAACTGTCAGTTTCGGTGTCAAGCACAGCCAGTGAGAATCGTCCCAGTTCCCGATTGTGACTGTGCCTGGAGGCAGCAACGACTATTTCTGTCCCCACAGAGCTGTTGTTCGCCTACGTGTGTCTGCTGGGCTCATCATTCATGCAGTTGAGTAATATATAGTGTGGCTGATATGCAAACAACCTCCAACACTTCCAAACAAAGTCGACATCCGCAGATGATCGCAATCCTTCTGCTCACTTTTCAAAAACAGACCCTGTAATGTTTGTAGGCCTACCTGCCTTTTTAAAGAGCCCCTCGCAGCATTATCAGATGCAGCTCTATTACACAGTGTGTTGTGAGTTTTAGCTTTAATCTTAATCTTCAGTCATCAGGGGGACAAAATGAGTTCACAGTGACCATCGGTGAGCACACATGATCAAAGAAGTGCGGAGCTAAAGTACATGCAGCCTTTGAGACGGGACAGCTGGAGAGCACATGGAGCACTCGGGTGAATGATCGTTGTATTAGCACTTCAATTAGGCCTTGTTTCAGGTCTCATTATGACCTGTAGACACGATGGACACTGTGAACTCTTCACAGCTCGGGACACACAGGACAATAACGCTGTGAGAAAGTAGTTCAATCAGCTGGTGTGTTTATAGTTTCTAAAGAGAAGACGGTGTGTTATGTAGGGCTGCTTATATGTGCTTTCCCTGAATTCACAATTATACCGTGACTCCTTTAGTTGACTGACTGGATCACAGTAAAGGGATTGGCCATGTGACTGCAGCAAAGGACATACACAATGAAACATGCAAAACAGCTGCAGCTCATCTAGACTTTACCATTGTACTGCATAAATGTGGATCATAATGTACAAACATTCAAATTGTACATAATTAACATCCATAGTGTACATATCTTTTTCTAGTGTTCTAGAATATTAATATGCTGTTCCCTATTTGTATATAAGTGTTTTTTATGCACAAACCACTTATATGTGTAAATCTACTTTGCAATAAACCCTGATTCTGATTTTGTTAACTCATATGGTAAAATTCATCTCACGACACAGCACAGATTGATGTCGTTGTTGCTTGTGCTCAGCCCTCCGAATGTCTGAGTTTGCCTCTGTGATGAAAATCGATCGGCTGAATACTCTGAGTGGTGTTTTACTCACTGAAGGTGTCACAATCTTAACAACACACTGTCCTCTCTGCAGGACACATCTGCCAATGTATTGTCTCCGAGATCACCAGCAAACGATGGCATTATCTGACCAGAACAGAGAGCAGGAGTGATCTATGGTCAGATGACAACACCTTCTCTCTGATTTGATTTCAAAGAGCCAACGTCTATCTGACCTGAATGGTCTTGTTGGGGGGGTCAAACGGACAGACACATCAGTCATCATTATCAAGTGTGAGATACACATTGGTTGTGGATTAAAACAGCCTCCAAAAGTGTCTTTTCTTTTGTAACCTAGAGTTTATCTTCCCAATCGACTCCTTTGTGACTGTAATTTAGCAGCACATGTTGTGTGGCCTGTTCGCAAGATCGTGAGAGGGATTTCTACTGATTCGGATTGTTTGTGTAACTACCAAGAATTTCTACCCAAAAAAGATCCAATAAATAGTGAATAGAAAAAAAGTACTTTGGCCTAGAGTGTGGAACAAGTTGGATTTTGTCTTTTTTAAGATCTTGGACTTTTGTGCAGCACCCTGAGACAACTGTTTGTTGTGCTACCATGCTATATAAATAAATTTGATTGATAGAGCATTAAAAGAAAGATTCAATATCACATAATTACCATTGCCAATTAGGATATGTTTGTTTGTTGTTTTTTTAAAAAGATTATGACACCAAACCTTGGTAGAAGGATGTGGTATTGTTCAGAGAAGAACCCAGTATATTTTGATGCAGATCCTCATCAGAGGCAGATCCAGGAAACTTCTTATCTCTGTTTTTAACATTGCAAAAGTGTGTGTGGGTGTTTTATTTTACATTATCAACATTCTCCCAGGGAATAATTCATGGATCTGAAAACAATCAGGCATATTTAGGGGACTGGTATCTATGAGTGTGTGAACGTT